GTTAAATGCAGAACTAAAATTTACAAAAAGCATTCTCACACAGCCCCCCCCCCCCATTCCAAATGAGTCAGAGAAGTGTGAAAAGTGATGGCTATAGCATCCACTGTAGATCTATTTGTTCTGTATGCAAACTGGTGTTTATCAAATGTATGTGGAATGGGGGGGGGGCAAGGAGAATGGTGAGACTCAGAGAGTAGGTCAGGTGGAGCTGGCTGATTCAGGACTGCTCAGAAGCTGCCCCTGCTGCTGCCAGAAGTTTGGGTGCCTTAGCTTCAGATCGCTCCCTCCCTCCCTCCCTCTCACACACACACAAACAGAGGTTGGAGAGCTCTCTTGCTCTCTCTCTCTCCAAGCGCCCCATGCCCATTTGAGGAAAGGGCACGCACAACTGGGCGCGCTTGGCTGCAGGAGGAGGCCCGGGTGGAAGGTGGCGTTTTATGCAGCATCCCCCTCCCCTCGTTCGATCACCCTGCAAGGGGGGGGGGCTCTGCCTTTTCAGAAACAGGGCAGGAGCTTTGTGCAGAGGATTGGCAGGGGGTGGTGATGCGCGGCCCTCTGGGATGGAGAGAGGGGAATGAGAAGGCTCCGAGGTTCACTTGGGCAATCAAGCCAGAGGGAAACTCAAAGCGTTGGGGGTTTCAGAAGGGCAGAATGTGCTTTAGAATGTGCAGCTCCTGGTTCTAACAGTGAATGACATGAGTGATGTCAAGTTGGCCACACCCACCCGGTCACATGACCAAGCCATGCCCCAAGAACCAGTAGGGAAAATTTTTGGATTTCACCAGTCAAGGCTCTACTTTTACCTCCTTCAGCTTCTCAGATTGCCGTGTTACAACCATGTAACAACCGTGTTATTAACTTAATAATTAGTGATTCATTTAACTGTGGCAAGAAAAGTCGCAAAATGGGGCAAAATGCACTAAACTAATGTTTCTTTTTTTTAAAAAAAATTTATTTTTAAACACAAACATACAACGTAAATACATATAAAAACACATACATATTAATGTATAATACAATACACATACACAAAAAAAGAAGTCTATCGACTAACTCCTAAGAAGCTGTCGCATCGGTGGTTGTTTTCTAATTTACCTGTTATTTCTTTATTTAAAAGTTTGCATTTCTGCTTGTTTGTGCCTTAACGTAATTATACATTTCTAAGCATAGCTTTCTGCATATCATACTAACTATTCATAGATACCATCCTACTGTTTTCCTCATGTGCCAATTTCTATATTCTTATTTAAACTTTCCTAACATCTTATTTTACTGGCCCTATCTTTCCCTCCAGCCATAAGTACCATCTTTGCCAGACTATATAGTAATCGGTATCTTCCTTCTCTTGGAGCTCTTTAGTGAGTCTATCCATTTCTGCACATTCGGTTATTTTTGCAATTATTTTTGCTTCTGTTGGTAGTAATTCAGATTTCCAATTTTGGGCGTACAATATGCATGCCGCTGTCAAAATGTGAATGATAAGGTATTTTATCTCTTTAGTATATTGTGGTGTAGTCATTCCAAATAGAAAAAATTCCGGTTTCATTTCGACGTTTTGCTTAGTTATTTCTTCAATCATTCTCTTAATTTCTTGCCAGTGGTGTTGTGCCTTTATACAAGACCACCAGAGATGGTAGTATGACCCCTTTTGCGACTTACATTTCCAGCACATTGGTGATGTATTTGGAAACATTTTAGCCAAACGTGCTGGTGGGAGGTGCCATCTGTAAAATATCTTATATAGGTTTTCTTTGTATGGGATCGACATTGTCATCTTATGATTTTCTGTCCATAGCTTATCCCATTTGTCCAGTTCTATGTTATGACCTATATTTCTTGCCCAGCTTATCATGTTTTCTTTCACCGTTTCCTCCTCTAATTTGTACTTTAGTAAGTAATTGTAAATTTTAGATATCATTTTCTCGTCCGTGCCTTTTAGTATTTTGTCCAGTTCATTCGGTTCAGTTTGGAATCCATACTGTATCCGGTCTGCTGTGAATCTTGATTCTATTTGAAGGTAAGGCCACCAATCAATAACTATACCTCGTCTTTCCAGTTCTTGTCTCATGTATAGGTTCCCTTCACTGCTCAACAGTTCTTGATATTTCCTCATCTTTCCTATTTCAATAGTATTTGGGTAGATTAATGCTTCCATAGGGGAGAGGCATCGCGGGATTTTAATACAATGTTGCTTTCTGATGTCTTTCCAAGTTTTGTATAGTGAGCCTCTGATTAAGTGTCTCTGGAAGTACCCGTGTTTCTTGTCTGTGCCTTCCCACAGAAAGGCGTGCCAACCTCGACTCAAATCGAATCCCTCTAAGTATAGCGTTCTCCTGTTTGTTAAGTCTATCCATTCTCTGATCCAGTTTAGCGATGCTGCCTTGTAATATAACTTCCAGTCCGGTAAACCGAGGCCTCCCTTCTCCCTGGTATCCTGTAAGCATTTTATTTTGATTCTAGCCTTCTTTGCTTGCCAGATATATTTCATTATTATCTTGTTGAGATCCTTGAAAAAATCTTTTCCTGGGCCAATTGGTATCACTTGAAAGAGATAGAGGAGTCTTGTTAGTATGTTCATTTTTACTGAGGCTATTCTGCCTAGGAATGACAGTTGTACCTTGTTCCAAATTTCCAGGTCTTTTTTAATTTGTTTCATCAATTTAATGTAATTGTCCTCTCTGATCGTTGTTACTTTTGTGGTGAGCCAAATTCCCAGATATTTTATTTTCTTAACAATTTGTATTCCTAATTCTTCCTCCAATTTTGTCTCTTGTGTCTTTGTCATTTTTTGGTTAGGACTTTGGTTTTTTGCCTGTTGATTTTGAGTCCCGCCACTTTGCCATACTCTTCTATCTTCTCTAATAATTTGATTCCTGCTACTTCTGGGTGCTCCACTATGAATACCACATCATCGGCAAAGGCCTATAATTTATATTCCTCTTTCTGTATCCTTAGTCCCTTTATTTCTTCTTCCTTTCTTCCTTCATTTAATAGGACTTCCAATGATATTATGAACAGTTGGGGTGATAGTGGGCATCCTTGTCTTACCCCTTTTTGTATATTTATTTTTTCTGTCATATCCCCATTGATTGTAATTCTTGCTGTCTGGGAGGAGTATACTTTCTTGACCATTTTTAAAAATTTGTCGCCGAAATCCATGAACTCTAGTTGTGCTATAAGAAATTTCCAATTCAAATTGTCGAATGCCTTTTGGGCATCGAGAAAAATTAAGGCCACCTGTTTGTTAATTTTTTGTTCATAATATTCTAAGACATTTAAGATTGTCCTCATATTACTTTTTATCTGTCTCCTTGGGACAAAGCCATTCTAATCCGGATGTATATAATTATGTATAATTGTTTTCAGTCTTTGTGCTATAATTGTCATGAATAATTTATAATCGACATTTAACAGAGAGATCGGTCTACAATTTTTAACCTTGGCGGGTCCGTATCTTCTTTGGGGATAAATGAAATAATAGTTTCTGCCCAGGATTTAGGTGCTTCTGCTTTGAGCAGTGCATCGTTTGGTGTTTATCAAATGTATGTGGAATGGGGGGAGGCAAGGAGAATGGCGAGACTCAGAGAGTAGGTCAGGTGGAGCTGGCTGATTCAGGACTGCTCAGAAGCTGCCCCTGCTGCTGCCAGAAGTTTGGGTGCCTTAGCTTCAGATCGCTCCCTCCCTCCCTCCCACACACACAAAAAACAGAGGTTGGAGAGCTCTCTTGCTCTCTCTCTCTCCAAGCCCCCCATGCCTATTTGAGGAAAGGGCACGCACAACTGGGCGCGCTTGGCTGCAGGAGGAGGCCCGGGTGGAAGGTGGCGTTTTATGCAGCATCCCCCTCCCCTCGTTCGATCACCCTGCAAGGGGGGGCTCTGCCTTTACAGAAACGGGGCAGGAGCTTTGTGCGGAGGATTGGCAGGGGGTGGTGATGTGCGGCCCTCTGGGATGGAGAGAGGGGAATGAGAAGGCTCCGAGGTTCACTTGGGCAGTCAAGCCAGAGGGAAACTCAAAGCCTTGGGGTTTTCAGAAGGGCAGAATGTGCTTTAGAATGTGCAGCTCCTGGTCTAACAGTGATGACGTCAAGTTGGCCACGCCCACCCGGTCACATAACCAAGCCACGCCCACAGAACCAGTAGGGAAAATTTTTGGATTTCACCAGTCGTCAAGGCTCTACTTTTACCTCCTTCAGCTTCTCAGATTGCCGTGTTACAACCATGTAACAACTGTGTTATTAACTAAATAATTACAGTGATTCATTTAATTGTGGCAAGAAAAGTCGTAAAATGGGGCAAAATGCACTTAACAAATGTTTCACTTAGCAAGAGAAATTTTCTGTGACCAGCTTTCCGTAATTTTTTCATCAAGGTGCTAAAGGTAGGACAAAATGATGTCAATTTGTCTATTCAGTCATCAGTAATCCAATTTAACCTGATAACACCTAAATTCAGTGGGATTTACTTTTAATAATTAGGCATAAAATTGAGTAATTGAATCCTAGGCTTTTTTAATTGAAGCATTAGATGGGAGGAGTGCAACCACAACAACCAAGATTATCAGGTGTACAGATTTCTACACACAATAATAGATTCTAAAAGCCGAACTACTTTGCTTTTTATCACTTTTAGGTTAATTTCCAGCACTTGTGCAGGGAAGTTTCTTATGTGACTGTCTAATGCATTTGACTGCCCAGGTAGCCAGGGAAGAATGTGTGTGCATTAAATTCATGCATTCTAATTCAGTGACAGTATGAGTGAGAACATGCTTGTCCAGTCATTGTGTGCACAATGCTATATATGTGGAACGCACATTTGCATTGGCACAAAGTCAGCCTGGCCATTTTTAATGTCAAGGCTATTTTCACAGTAGATTAGAGTTCATGCCTTATTAGCTTTAAAACACAGAAACATATTATTTGGAACATTTAAAAAACAACACAACAATAACCCAACAGACACCAGATCACCCTTAACAAGTAACAATTAATTCATTCAACGAACCTCTTATTTTCATGCTAAAAGTTTAGGGCTGAATTTGAGCAGCGCGTTGAGGACCGGTGCATACATTCTACTGTCACGCCTCGTACCGGAGAAAAGTACCATCTAACAACTCAGTAACGAGGCAGTGGCCGCGCAAATCCTGCCTCCTGCATTCATTGCATCAATATGCTAAATAAGCTAATTCACTTGCCGCGTCTGCAGCAGCGATCGCCATCGCACGACTAAACTTTAGGCCGACGCGGTTAAAGGCCGGGAGGATGGGCGGCCGTGTGCATCTGCGAGAGTGCGCACCCTGTCACAAGGTGTGGCCGAAAGCCTGACTGGCCGACGAGGATACGACTCGCGTGGTGCCCGAGGCGGGTGAACCCTCACAGGCGCACAGCCCTTCCCCCCGCCGCCTCTTTACTTCAGGCGGGCGCGCGCCGGGCTGGCTCAGTCGAAATGGGGAGGCGATAGGCTCGGGAGCACAAGAGCGCGCCTGCTGGCTTTGCTTTTGCTTCGCTTCGCTTTGCTCGAGCGAGCCTTTCGTTATTAAGGTGGTGGGAGTTTGCGCGAGAACCAGCGGTTTTCCCCAGCAGAGGAGGAAGCTCTTTCCGTGGATACGGCATCCTGCTCGGCAACAGAGGCTGTGGCTGTGAGTGTTGAATGACTCTTAGCATTGGGGGTGGGGGGTGGTAATATGTCTCCGCTCCTTCCCAGCAGTAGTTTTATACCAGCTGAGGTGTGGGCCGGTGTGGCTGTCATCCGTCTCTACCTCGGCACCCAGCCGGTTCGGTCGCCTCGCAAAGACCCTGGGAGACCCGGGGCTGAGTAGCTGGGCTGCGAGCTAATCTTCGCTCGCGGCTTCCCATGGCAACCGGCAGCCGCCGTTTTGTGGGGACAGACTAACCGCCTGGGATCCACCCTCCAGAAGCCAGGCAGTAAGGAGGGAGAGCTGTTTCCAAGTTCTCCCTGCTTTCCACCTGCCTTTTCAAGATGCCGAAAAAGCATCAGGCGAATTATGGTCTCCTGTACTAGTCCGTGATGGGGTCTTAAAGGGAAACTGGAAAAGTCCCAGGGCAAGCCCGGTCCTGTGCAAAAATCGCCATGCGTGGAGGGGTGCGATAGAGCCGAGAAGGAAGAAATCGAGGCATGTCTTCCTTCCTCTCCTTCCTGCCACACTGTCTGCCAACCTCCTTCTGCCTCTGGATTTTTCCTTTTTGGTTTAGTCGGTTTTGGGCATTGAATCGCTGGTTTTGCAGTCGGGACTTGCAGTTGTAGCAGCTGAAGCTCATGTCACCTCAAGGCCTGGCATTTCTGTCATGAACTGGAGTCCTAATGGTAATCTCCCTCTTCCTTTTTCTTGCTGTGTGGGTGTGCCTCAGTTGTGTACATCCATATTCTGACAGCCAGGCTTGGTACAGCAGCAACATCAGTTTATCCTTTTTAGCATTCAGGGCTGGGCTCAAGTTTGGGTGTCTGGCTCAACCTGCTCTGGCACAGCCCCTGAAATGCTACAGGTGTGAGTTCTCTTTGAGCAAATGGCTGCAGTTATTTCATGCATTAATACCCTGTGGTGACAAAATAAGTAGCAGGCAAATGTGCTAGTTGCAGTTGAAAGTGGGAGTCTGGGATTGGGTGGTGCCTTGTTCCTTTGTAGCTGACATACCCTTCGATTATGTCTCCTCTCTACAAAAATTATCCATTGTTTAAATTGTTGAAATACTTCAGTTTTGCTTTTTAGTAAATAGCAAAATCCATATCTAGAGTAATCTAGATTGATGGAGATAGAGGGCTAATTAAATCAGCATGCACTAACTGAAAAATTATTTGATTTTCTTTCCCTCCTTTGCTGACAGAGTATACTTTCGATTTGGCTTCTTTGCAAATAGCACAATCCAAATAATTGTCACAATCTTTTACATTCAAACTTACAGCCAGGTCAGGCATTTTCTGTAATACGTTAAAGCTTGCATGACCCAGCCTTCTGTGCAACAAGTCTGCACACCTATTACGCTTTGGTTCATTTGAAAATATTGTTTGTACACTGCCACCAGTTTCCTTGTAGTTCAAAACATATAAATTGTTCAGTTTCAAACCTTGTTCACAAATCTTGTTATTCTTTATTATCTTACATGCACCCTTTGCAAAAATTACCTTATACCTTCACATTCAGCAAGACACACTCAGATCATCAGCCCTGGGGCAGGTGTGCATGGCCAGCACAGGAGATGGTGAGCGTGTGGGGACCGATGGTGTCTGGCAGCAGCTGCAGCCTGCCAGCCCCACACTCCAGGGCTGTACAGCCTTCACACCACAGGTGAGTCCGAGCACTGCAACCGCCAGGCCAGCCTTCCAAGCAGCAGGTAGAAGCAGAGGTGCGGGGAGAAGCATGCAATGCAGCCTGCCATATGGGCCCTGTGTCTTCCTACTCCATCACAAGCAAAGACAGACGGTGGGGTGGAGTGGGTGGCTGGCCACAGCAATCTCATTCTGAGTGTGTAGCGGAGCCGGAGGATGACATTGTACAGCGGGGGCAGCAGCTTGGTGCCCCTGCCCCACTACCTGCCTTTCCTTTCCTTACGGTGGCGGCACCAGCAGCAGGCAGAGGCAGTGGCATGGGGGAGGCACACTGTCTGGCTCACCAGATGCACTGCATGGCTGCCTGACCTGTTGCAGCTGTGGGCAAACAAAGACAGACAAGATGGAGTGGGCGAGTGACTGCACGGCTGCCTGTCCACTCCATCCCACTGTCTTTCCCCGCGGCCATGACTGGGCAGGCAGCCATGTGGTGAGTCCAGTGGGCTGGACCCTGCCCCTATGCCTCTGCCTGGTGCTTGGACAGTCCGGCGGTTGCAGCATTGTGACTCACCTGTGTTACATGGGCTGCGCAGCCCCTAGAGTGTGCTGGCCAAGGGGCTGGTGGGCTGCAGCTGCTGCCAGACCCCCTTGCGCTCACCACCTCTTCCGCATGCGCCGGGGGAGCACACGGCTGGGTTGATGAGCCTGATACCATGTTTCCCCAAAAATAACCCCTAATGCAGTGGTTCTCAACCTTCCTAATGCCGCGACCCTTTAATACAGTTCCTCATGTTGTGGTGACCCCCAACCAGGGGTGGGTTCTAAATTTTTTTACTACCGGTTCTGTGGGCATGGCTTATTTTGTGGCGTGGCTAGCTGGTCATGTGACCGGGTGGCCATGGCTATGTGTATAGGGACTACTCAGAGGGCTGAAAAAAGTTATTTCTGACAGGTCCTCCCACTTTTGACTGGTCCTCACACTTATGACCATCCTCACATTTATGCCCGTGCAGCATTCTTAACAACTATGTTACTCATTTCTGCTTCTTTTCACCATGGTGATAAGATAGGGCAAAAAACTTAAAATGTGAGGACAGTTGTAAATTCGAGAACTGGTCAAAAGTGCGAGGACCAGTCAAAAATAACTTTTTCAGCCCTCTGAGTAGTCCATGTGCACAAAAGGACTACCCAGAGAGCTGAAAAAAGTGATTTCTGACAGGTCCTCGCACTTTTGACCGGTCTTCGCACTTATGACTGGTCATCATTTATGCCCATTGTAGCATTCTTAACAACCGTGTCACTTATTTCACAACTGCTTCTCTTCACCATGGTGACAAGATAGGGCAAAAACATAAAATGTGAGGACAGTCGTAAGTTCGAGGACTGGTCAAAAGTGCGAGGGCCAGTCAAAAATAACTTTTTCAGCCCTCTGAGTAGTCCATATGCATAAAAGGATACAGCAATAGAGGGATGAAGGAAGGGAAGGGAAATTAGAGTAGGAGTGAGGGTAAGAGAGGGAGGAAGAGAGGAGGAGAAGGAGAAAGGAAGAGGAAGTAGGGAGGAGAAGAGGGGGGGGGAAGAGAAAGTGAGAAGGAAAGAAAAGAGAGAGGTGGTAGGTTTGAGGAGAAAGATTGCTGTACAATAAAAAAGATGAAAGGGAAGAAAACTAACCCCAAACAAATATGAAGATATTAAGATATGAATTGTTAAACTTTAAAGTTTAAACATACAATGTATTTTCTTTGAACAGAGTATTTGGCCGGTTCACAAATTTAAACAGTGTTTATTCATTTCAATTAAATTTACAGCTTCTATATTTCCTTTTTGCCATATTTATTCCTCATCTATTTTTTAAAAAAACCAATATTACCCTTCATCCTCATCTCTAATCTTAATCAAATTCAATTTTTCCCTTCTATTCTATATTATACCCCTTCGCATTGTCATCTATTTTTATATCCATCCTCACATTGGTTAATTATGTAATTATGTAATACAGTTGTTTAATACAAATTCAACATTTTAATATAAATCAATTAGTTATATAACTATCTTTTTTGTATATTAATCAATATGAACATGAATATTCCAAATATTTCCATGCAATCCAATTTCTTACAAATCAATTAATTATATTTACCAATAATAATAAACCAAATAATTTCCCCCATATATTCCTCCAAACCACAACTTAACCATTTCTGCTTTCAACACAATATACAATTAATAGTATCTCAATTATTACAATTCCCTAGTTAAAAAGAGCTTTTTTTCTTTTGTGTTTTAAAATCTTGAACCTCCTTTTTTGCCCTAAATTTCCCATTGTTTACAGTTTTGCACCTACCTTTTTTTGGTGAGGAAAAAGAAAAAGAAATCTCTCTCTGCCTCATTTTGTCATGTTGCAGCAAAGACACAGCTTTACTTTCAGTTTCGTTTTTTCAGCATAGCTAAGGGGAAAAAATCTGCTGGAGATTTTTTTGCAGCTAGCAACAGAGCCCTCGCAAAACAGCTGAGAGGAAATCAACTGAGAGTTGAGGCTGATCTAATCAACTTGTGCTAATTAACCTATCCTGAAGCTGAAAGGGGCTGTTTTTTCTATTTTTGCAGGCACCGGTCTACTCATTTGTTTTCTAACACTGATCAGCTGTAGGGCGGCCCTTTGAAGCCCCGCGGCAAGAATTTAAACAGTTTTTTTCCCTCTAGCCATCAGCTGGGACTCAGGAGGCAGCAATAGATTGGGAGTGGGTGGGGTAAGCGAACGGCCGGCAATCCAACAGAGGCAGAGAGTGAAGGTGAATGAAGGCGTTGGGGGGGGAGCGAGAGAGGGCTTTGGCGACCCCTGTGGAATGGCCATTCGACCCCCAAAGGGGGCGCGACCCCCAGGTTGAGAACTGCTGCCCTAA